AAAGAGTGAGCCTCTCCAAGGGCACCCAAAGCAACTCTAGGGTTAGGCCAATTGTGGTCTGGAACCTAGATATTAATTCAATAGCATACACCAGCAAAATGTTAATATTGTATCGACACCATACATTGAACTCACCAAATAGACATCATGTCTTCTCTCCAAATCATTTCAGATAACCTACCATTAAGTCCTTGATAAAAAATAAAATAATCATTCATTTGATTTTTTACTTTACCAGTAATCTCTAAGATATTTATATAAGTCACTTCAACTATCATCTAAAAACATCTAAGACAATCACGGGAAAAGAAAGAAGGTAGGCTATGGAAAGGTGGGGAGGCATTACATTCTAAAAGAGGCCATTACCCATGGCTGGTTTTGGCGGTGTGGAGTGCAAGGAAAGTAAAGTAGACACAAACATAACCTCTTGTATTATGAGCAAAGAGCTCTTGGAAGCTAATTCTTGGCCTTTTCCATGGAGAAATCTGTGCAATCTGGCCAAGGGTGGATGATTGTACCGGATCGAAGGCCTTTGAACGTAATCTCAAAAATGATGATTTTGCTAGCTCGGAGGCTGATTCAAGGGTAGGTTGGGTAGCTGAGACAATCATTCATATTGGGTATTAATTTTATGGGCAGAAGACTGGATCTAACATAAAGGGGCATCATGTATTTTAAGACCATGAATTTCTGTTTTGCATTTTTCATAAGTATCATAAGACTCTTGTTAGGATCATTATGCCTAATAAATCATCTAATTCTTGGGTTTGTATAATTTTGGAGGACAGTGGTAGTCTTTCTGAGGCTGTTGTGGAGGGTACGGGAAAGTATTTGTTGGTTATTTTTTCTTCTTGCTCTACTCTGTTGAGTCATCTTCCAGTCTTTTCTGTTCCAGTGTCAGTTAATCTTGAGAAATAATAAATATTTTAGGCCCAAGGCATCATATTATTATTTTCCAGAAGTCGGAATATAGGATTGGCACCACATGGCCACTAGAATCATACTCATGGTTGAAGATGAAAATCAGATACTTGCAGATACCGTTAAGGTGGATTTTGTGCAATAATCAAAATATCGTTTCGATGTATTATTTCGGTCACCTAGGAAGCGGAAACGTTTCGACGTGTTTCGAAAACGTTTCGACCCGTTTCGAAAACATAATGAAAAAAATAAAAAATTTAAGAATTATTTTTCTAAAACATTTATGAAAATATATCAAAATATTTTGAAATAATTTGAAACATTCCAAAACAATTGTGCAAATGCATTGAAATATTATAATACATTTAAAAACATTATGGAATACCTCGAAATATCAGAATTTCGATTCCATCACTGTTTCATTTCGGTTTCCTTGAAAACAGAAATGTTTCGACAGTTTCGAAACGATATTTTGATTCTTGATTCTGTGGGGTCAGACTATGGTATGCAATAGTCCAGCAGGTTGACCATGAGTTTGTGGGAATGATTAGAGAACTTTGGTTTGATGAAAGAAGTTGGGGTAGGCTGATAGATTTTTTTCATTTCAACGAACATTAGTTCCTGTTAAAGGTTAAGGCTAAAAATACTAAAGGAAAGGGCAATAAGAATACTAAGGGTTTGAAGGAACTGAAAATTTTGAAATCTGGGGTGAATTATAAAGGGACTAGAATTACAAGGTCTAATGGGTTCAGAATTAGATGGGATGTGTGTGGTCTACATTGTAGGAGAAACATAAAAGCTATTAGGGAGGCGATCATTAAGGTAGAACCTGATATTATTTTGCAAAAGACTAAGAAGTTTTTCATATAAGAGTGTTATTGGTAGTATTTGGTGTTATGGGTGTTTTTGCCATCTTGTGGGAAATTAGATGATATCGTAATAATTGGGAAGTTAGGGTAATGTCGGCATTGGAGTTTGCAATGGGGTTTTCTATTTCAGTGCATTATAAAATGAAATATTATATAGAACTTTTGGGAAGAATTATGGGGTTTTCCGGTGTATGTAGTCCAAGATGGAGTTTTAGAAAAAGAAAAAAGGGAAGGAAGGGCTTCAATCGATATTGGGTAGTATTCTCATATATTTCTTATCTCTCTTCCGAATACCTTGTTTGGTGGCAATAAGGGTTGTGGGGATGATGAGTGGTTTTCTATTGGAGGATAGTGGTGAAGGTAGGAAGATCACTAAATTCATTGGGAGATGGAGTATAGGCTTACAGTTAAAGGTGGTCTTTCAATGGGTAATTTAAAGACTAGAAATAGAGGGAATTGGGTTTGAAGGATTCCGTTGGAGCAAAATTTATTGTGGCACTTGGTTATTAGAATCAAACATGGTTTATAGGATGCTAACGAAGTTGAAAGTGATGGTTTTTGTAACCCATGGAAATTAATTTGTTAGGAATAGGAAGTACCTTCCTTTTCTTGAAGGATTATATTTGGTTTAGGTAAGGGAGAGAGAGTTTGATTCTCGGAGAATTTTTGAATAGGGGAGTCATCCTCAATATGTTTATATGCTTGTCTTTATTCTCTCTAATATTGTCATCATGCTCGAATTGCTTGCATGATTAGGTCTTACACTCAATAGTCTTGGAGTTTTGGTTTTCACATGAATCTAGGAAAAAATTGGAAGTTGGCTCCCTTCTTTCTTTACTTAGTAATACATCTTCGCATCACAGTTCAGTGGATAAAATAAGTTGGGTTGTTAACTTTGAGGGCCCGTTTTCTTGCAAATCCTTTTTGATTCCTCAATTAATGACTCTTCTCTCCCAATATTACATCCATCTATGAAGATTTGGAAGACTAAGATGCTTTTGAAAACGCAAGTCATTGCTCATAGCAAGATTAACACTAGTGATTTGCTTCCAAAAAGATGACCTACAACATGCTTACTCCCACAATGATGTTTTATGTGTAACACAAATCATGAGAATCCGAATCATTTAATTTTGCATCGCCCAATTGCATTGTCATAATTGAAAAAGTTGTTTGAGGTGGTTAGGCACTCTTCGATGGTTCCAAGATTCATATCATATACATTTTAAGTGGATTTAACAGCTTTGCAAGGGAGAGTAAATGAATCACTCTTTCAAATGTGCAATGTTTGTCACTATTTTGGGTGATTTGGATGGAGAAAACACAAGAATTGTTTAGGATAAATGAGGTAGTTGAAGTTCAATTGAATCATATCCCTTTATTATCATCATCTTTTTAGCATCAATATCTAAGGTGTTTGCAAATTTGTGCCTTTATGGCATTTTGGCGAGCTGGAAGTTTGTGGCGGTTAAAAAAAGTATAATTCTCGGCTTCTTTGTCTATATGTAGTGTTTTATGTTTGTTTTGCAATGGGGTTGGACAAATTATCCACCTTTGCTCACATTTTTTACTAGGAGTTCCTAACAATCGTGCAGGAAATGTCAAAACCAACTTGACATACAAATTTTTTTTCTTGAAGAAACCTAATTCCTCAAGAATTAGTGATTATAGGTTCATTAACTTGGTGACTATTATTTACAAGATCTTAAGGTTTTGTCCACCAGATTACGAGAACTTTTGGATGATACAATTTATAATAATTAGGGTATTCTTGTTAAACGTAGACAAATATTGGGGGGCAGCATTGCGTGGTACCAACTGAGATTGTGGAGAAGTATATGACAACAAGGAATGAGTTGTTTTTAAAATTCATTTGGACAAATGGAGAGAAGAAGAAGAGGGATTTATAATGAACGACAGTAGTTAAGGAAAGAAAGATAACAAGGTGGGAGGCAATGACAAAATCTAAGATTGGAGATTAGTCGCGGGTCACCTAAGATTAAAGTTTAGTCTTGGGGAATGTAGTGAACAAAAATAATGTGGTGTTAGGAAAGTTGTGAAGATTTTCACTTGAACATGGTTCTCTGTGTCATGCAATTATTAGAAGTAAATATGAACTTCAACCGAATGGTTAGGACCTCAAATGAGGTGGTTAGGGATTTTTTATAAGTTGTTAAATGTACTTTTCAATGTCCTTAGAAGTTTATTTCCCAAGGTTTAAATCATTTTACTAGACACATCAGAGTGATGGGGGTCATCTTGGAGTTGGGTAAATACCTCAGATTTATTTGGAATTTATTTATTTTTCTGGATATTATTTGGTATATATATTTTCAGTGGCAAAGTTATGTTAGGAATCCAAGTTTTAGGCTTCGATTCCCTATATAAAGGGACTGATGAAGGTTTTTAATTAGACTTGGATTTTTGATTTATCAAGAGGGGGTGAAGTTCAATTTCTTAAGAAACCTGAATGATATGGAAATTTTGCAACGCTCACCTTTTTTGTTTTGCTTCATTTCTTGGAATTCAACGACTCTTGATAAAAGGCTGTGGACTCTTGATTCTCCGTGTCCATTTTCTTGGACATCTTTCTTTTGTTCATTGATAGATGATCAATTTTCTCCATTTTGGAATCCTATTTGATGATTTGGAAGGCTCAAGTGTCTGTTAAGGTTCACATTTTCTCTTGTATTGTTCCTCATGAGAGGCTAAATAACTATAATTTGTTTGTTGCAAAGGAGAAGGTCAAATGCTTGGCGATCTCCTCAATGATGTTTTGTGTAGGGGCTGTGGTGAAAGTATTGATCACCTTTTTCTTTATTGCCCTATTTCTCCAAATTAGTGGTATACAGGTTTTCGGGAGGTAAGCTTGCATTAAGTGATTCCACAAGATTGTGTATTCTTAATTGTGGAAACTTATGGTGCTTTTACCAAGGGTAAAACTTATGGTGTTTTTTGGAAGGGGAAAACTAATGGTTCTTTTCAGGAAGGAAGTAGGGCCTCTGGGATTGTGTTCTTTTGGCGAGTTTTGGGTGATATTGATGCAAAGAAATAATATAATTTTTTTAAGATCAAGTGGAGTTTAAGGAGTTTCTACAAAGTTCTTGGCTTCAATATGGGTGGCAGCTTCTAAAGACTTTCAGGATCTTTAGTTTTTCTTATTCTTCAATATTGGAATGCAGCAGGCTGTGACAAAGAAGTCAATCTATCTTATATTTCTCCTCCTTTACTTTTTCTTTTTCTAAATTTAATGGTGGATTTGTTGACCACTTCTTTAATCTTTCTTCTATCTTCTATCTTCAACGAAATTTTGTTCTTTCTCCAAAACATACTGGGCAGTTTCCTTAGCTTATTTCTTGATGTATAGCTTGACAAGGTGGCTGCTGCAACAGGGGACCAAAACCTGTTTGAAAGCTACACCAGAAAGTGATAACATGAAAGTTGAAATCTCTTAAAACACAAGGTAAGGACAACAAGCATTTAGATGACTTCTGACTAAACAGGAAGTATGGCTCAGGAAGAAATAAAGAATGTTAAATTCCCTAGAACACTTCATTGAGTAAAGTAGTCGACTAGTCATTCTGCAAGTAATACAACAGATAGAATGTAACTGAATTAGAAAATGAAAGTGGACGATAAGTTGATAATACAAAAGCTATCTAAACTATCTGGTCAAAGGGACACAAGATAAACCAAAATCTTGTGAAATATTAAAGCGGGCAAGTGATTTGCGTTATTTAAATCAGGTAAGTGAATACATGATTAGTAGAGCACACCTACCACAATTTTCCTCAGAAGAATGCCAGTTGTACAAAAAAGGAGTTTTGTTCTCTCATTCCTTGAAACAGTAATATGCAAGGATCATTAGTAATTTGATAATTGCAATCACAAAATAATATGAGAAAATCATACCTACAGAAAATAACAAAAGCACAGTGGATTTTTCCAGAGGATAATTAAGCAACATGCAAGGTAATGGGACTTTCTTTGCATATATAAACTTCTTATTCCACAATCGGAAGTCATTTAAGTCCCGGACGGAAGTCATTTAAGTCCCGGACAGAACCTTCCGGAAAAAGAAAAAAAAAAGTCCCAGACAGACACCACAGGGAGCTTATAGCTATCAGACTCAAGGAGGACACCATCCCAATATGAAGGCCAAGTCAGAGGATCATTAGCCTAACATCCAGGTCAGAACCTAGACATTTTTAAAGGCATATTCGGGATAGAACAATCATAGAGGTACAAGTTTGTAAAGGTGTATGTATAGTTTTAACATACGTTAAAGAGGGCTATTTTGACTATCATAAAGCTATATCATAAGTATATGTAGCAGAAACCATGTTAAAGAAGTATATGAGAACTAGTGGAATGGAGATGGTTCTAGCATGAGGGTTACTTCACCATTCACAAGTTCCTAAACCTTTGTCTCAGAACTTTAAGGCCCAGCTTAGCCTGACCAATTTCCTTCAACTCGAACAGTTGGAATTGACCGAATAGAACCTAATCATACAACGTATAAGGTATAAAATCAGTGAGTACAGCCAAATTCAACCTGAGAAGATCAAGCAGATGATATTATTTTAGGTTCAGGAGTTCTATAACATCCAAATTTTCAATAGGCCATATCTCCTCAACAAGAGCTTTATTCAAAGCAGTCAATCAAGTTTCTTGAACACTAAAAAATCCTGTGGAATGGTTATCCCTGGTGTGTCTCAGTACTAGCCTTCTAACCAACCAACATAACTTCATGGCACTCTAGGAAACAATTTCAACTTTGTATAACCTTGAGTCATCCCTCGTCTACATCTAGTACCCTGTTTCGACATCATCGTATGTTAAATCAGTTTTCCCCTTTATCTATCAATACTAAACATATTGCTGATCCATGGAAATTGTTTTGTCACACGGATACAAATGGTGTCTCCATTACCTCTGCTAAATTACACTTGGGGCAACCCCTGTGAAGCACACCTTCATGTTTCACGCATTCATATTTATCTCCGTCGACCAAACTCAATGAATAAACCGAAATATTTGTTCATTTCAAAAGGTTCATCTGAAGCCTGCTGTACATACCAAGGAGAATGCCCCACATAGAACGCTACGGCATATCTTGATAAGTTATGGTTTTCAAGGAAAGTTGATGCCCACATCCCAGCTCTTAACCATTAAATCCACGTGTATGGCCTGTCCTCCAGATATTAAATCCAGGGATCCTACAATTTCCCACAATGCCCTTTGATGTATTTGCAATTTCCAGTGCTTATGCTTCCACGGGGCCCCAGTTTTCAACAGCTAATGATACCCATCTCCTTTTTAGCCTTGTCAGTCCAACTTTAGAACCATTTTCATAGCCCAACTTACTTCGCACTAAATCCGCCAAAAAATGTTTCCCCGCATTTTGATCCATGCATCCATTATTTAATCCCTCACTGGGGCCAATCCTAATTCTGTGTGCGCTGTAATATTTCCTAGCTTCCAAAATCTTAATATGAGCATATTTTCAGTTCCAAAATCCCAATAATCTACACGTGCTGGTCTCAGTCCGAAATTCCAAATGAAATATGGTTGCATAGACATAGTAATAAGCACAATCTACTAACATCATTTTAGTTGAACCTTTAAAAATAAAATTCTCACAAGAAGTGAAATAGAAAGCATCCGATATAATCTTAACAAAAAATTATAAAAACCATGAATATCTAGCTGAGGCTGCTGAGCTTTCTCCCTCTTGTTGTTGGTTCATTTTTTAGGGATTTTTTGGTTTATTTTTGTGGGATGTCTAATGCAGTTTTATGCATGGATAACTCTAGTCTCAGTGTGTTTTTGTTATGTATGTTATGTTATCTTTAAGGGTAATCTTGGTACTTTATGGTTATATATATATATATATATAAAAGTAACAGGACAGTAGTATATTTTTCCTGCATTTATGATCAGTGATGCTGTTATATAGTGATTTATCTATATGTCTATTTTATTAAACTCTCATGGTTCTTCACCTAAGTCGCATAGGAACTTTGGCTTTGTTAACTAGGAAGGGAAAGTGCCGTTTTGGTTATGATAAATCATCGACAGAAGAGTGAGGGTATGGTAGAAAATGCTAAATAGTAAATCACTATACCACAGGTCACTCTAAAATACTGTGTACCACAGAAGAAAATTTCTTCACTTCTCAATGAGAATACAGTGGAAAAACTGTTTATGAATGGAATATTGATGGCTTTTCTGAATATCAAATTTACCAAGTCTTACATAAGATGCTAATATATGTATGCACTAATATAATAATACCAATCAATAAACTGCAAAAATTATTGTTATAGGTTTTCCTGGACAGCTTAAAGCTTGGTGGGATAATTGTTTAAGTCTCTCCCACCAAGAAGAAATTTAAAATTTTACAAATTGGTAACTACTCCAATTGACCAAATGCAGGTGTCAACTGAATATGTACAAGATGCAATTTATACATTGATCCAATCAATAATTTTGCATTTTTTGGGGAGTAATATTCAAAATACCGACAAAGATAAAGAACTACTAATGAATCTAAAATATCTCACACTCACACATTTTAGGTGGTATAAGGATATTTTCTCATTCATGATACTAATAATGACTTTGGAAAGAAAAATTCATTACTATTATTCCAACATTGTTTGTCGAAAAAGTTAGAAAAAGACTTAAAAACAAATATGGAGGAATGATTATCCCTTGGAATGAGTATACCTATGGTGAACTTATCAGTGAATACATCAATGAAGGGTTGGCTTTTTACAATGATTTTAATCTTAAAGCCCAATTTAAAAGACAATGCCTAATAGAAAGAAAAGAGTTAGGTGAACTGTGTGATTAATTTGTTTTTCATATTGATGATTCAAATCCTTCTACAAAAATTAAGTCTAATAAGACTAAAAAAACACAAATTTAATAAGAAAAGAAAAAAGAGAAAATATGATGACAGTGTTCTTTTTTACAAAAAGAGAAAATTTAAAATAAAATATTTTCCAAGAAGAATACAAATCAGACCATTATGCTAAGAAATGTTTACCTAAACAAAAAATTATTCAAGATCATAATCTCAGAGAATAATTGTGTAAGATATTGCTAAATGACACAGAAGAGTCTTCTTGGTCTTCTAGTGATAATGATGAAATCTTTAAAATAAATTCAACTACTACCTCAAATAGTCAAAGTGATGATGAATCAATGTCTCTCCTCATGTCAAGTTCAACAAAATTATTACAAGGCTATACTTGACATGAATGGATTGAGCATTAATGTTTTTTTCAAAATCTCAGTCTACAATTTTAGATACAATTGATTCAATCACAGATCCAATAGCCAAAAAAAAAGCTATTGAAAAATATTTAAAAACTTCTCAAGAAGAACAATCAAAGAAAAAATTCGAAAAACCTTCTACGGTGAAACCATTTTCTTTATAAGAAATTTTAAATTGTTTTAATTTTGAACCCACGTCCGAGAAAGAAACTACAATTAATGATCTCAAATGAGATCAATCAATTAAAATCTGAAATCAAAAATCTCCAAAGAAGATTATCTTCCCTTGAGAATTCTGACCAATCTCAAATTAAAGATCCACAAAATTCTGGAAAAAAATATCAATATATGTTCCTTCGTAATCAAATAACATATAAAAAATGGTATGTTAAAATCACTTCGGTAATTAACCAAGAATATGTTGTTAAAACTACTGCACTTATTGATAGTAGAGCAGATATGAATTGTATAAAAAGAGGATTAATCCCTATTCAATATTTTGAGAAAACTACTCAATCATTAAGTCATGTTGATGGTTCAAGAATGAACATTAGATATAAACTAACAAATGTTTACATTTGTAATCGAGAGATGTGTATTTCCACCTCCTTCATTCTTATTAAAAATTTGACTCAGAATGTCATTCTGGATCCTCCATTTGATTATTAATAATAAACCTTTAAACAAGGTTTTACGATGGATAAGATATTCAATTCGTAATAAAAAAGATTTACTAGCTCGATGGCATAATAAAAAAGATTTCATGCCATTTGGACTAAAAAATGCTCCATCTGAATTTCAAAATATCATGAATGATATTTTTATCCGTTACAACATTTTCAATTGTTTATATAGATGATATACTTATCATTTTTGTAATTTTATTTCATAAAAAGCCGCACAACTCCATAGAGAATGACTCTTTCTTATTAGAAATTTTTTCAGTAAAGCTTGGATCTCTTGTTTACAGAGTTTCAAATATTTTTATCCATTTGAGTTAGTCTTACCTTAGTATGAATGTTTTTCTCATTAAAATCTTTTTCATAAGGCAAGAAAACAATATACTTTTTCCTTTCTCAAAATGCATTAGGAAGGGTACTGCATATTTCTAGAACAATTTTTTCTCGTAGATTTTTTAAATTATCCTGAAATTTAGGATTTTTTAATTGGTTTCCAATAGTCATAATTTTGACATCTTGTTGAACAACATTAATTTGTCTTTTTTTAAAAGTCAAATTTTCCTTTATTTCTTTCTAGCTTAGTAATAAACTTAAAACTAATTTGTTGATTATTTAAAAAAATAGTGATTCCTCTTAAATTGATTGTGATTGATTCAATAAGAGCCAAAAATGGAGTACCTAGAATGACATTCTGAGTCAAATTTTTAATAAGAATGAATGAGGTGAAAATGCACATCTCTTGATTATAAATATAAACATTTGTTAGTTTATATCTAATGTTCATTCTTGAACCATCAGTAGTACTTAATGTTTGAGTAGTTTTCTCAAAATATTGAGTAGGGATTAATCCTTCTTTTATACAATTCATATATGTTCCACTATCAATAAGTGCAGTGGTTTTAACAATATATTCTTGATTAATTACCAAAGTGATTTCAACATACCAATTTTTATATGTTATTTGACCAAGAAGGAAAAGATATGATCTTTTTTCCTTGAATTTTGTGGATCTTTAATTTGAGATTGGTCAGAATTCTCAAGAGAAGATAATCTTCTTTTGAGATTTTTGATTTTAGATTTTAATTAATATATCTCATATTTGATATCATTAATTGTAATTTCTTTCATGGAAGAAAATGATTTCAGTGGAGGTTTTTTGAATTTTTTTTTCGGCTTGTTCTTCTTGAAAAATTTCTAAATATTTTTCAATTACTTTTTTTTTAGTTATTGGATATGTGATTTGATGAGTTATATTTAAAATTGTAGATTGAGATTTTAAAAGAACATTAATGTTCAATCTGTTCCTGTCAAGTATGGCATTGTAATAATTTTGTTGAACTTTACACGAGGACGAACATTGATTATGATCATTGTGATCATCATTATCACTAAAAGACCAAGGAGACTCTTCTTTGTCATTTAGCAATATCTTACATAATTGTTCTCTGAGATCCTGATCTTGAATAATCTTTTGTTTGGTTAAATATTTGTTGGCATAATGGCCCGATTTGTCACATTTGTAGCATTAATTTCTTTATTATTCTTCTTGGGAGAAGATTTTATTTTAAATTTATCCTTTTTGTAAAAGGGAACATTGTTCTCATATTTTCTCTTTTTTCTTTTCTTATTAAATTTGGGTTTCTTTAGTCTTATTAGACTAATTTTTATAAAAGGATTTGGATCAAAATGAGAAACAAATTGATCACAGAATTCACCTAACTATTTTCTTCCTATTAGCCTTTGCCTTTTAAATTAGGCTTTAAGATTAAGATCATTGCATAAAGCCAAACCTAAATTAGGCTTTAAGATTAAGATCATTACATAAAGTCAGACCTTCATTGATGCATTCACTGACAAGTCAACCATAGGTGTATTCATTCTAAGGGATAATCACTCCTCCATGTTGTCTTAGTCTTATTCTAACTTTTTCTGCAAACAATTTAGGAAAACTAAAAATGAATTTTTCTTTCCAAAATTCATTATTAACATCATGCCTCATCATGACTTTGGATAAGAAAATATCCTTATACCACCTAAAATGTATGAGTAGGAGACATTTTAGATTCATTAGGAATTCTCTACCTTTGTCGGTATTTGGAATATCACTCCCAAAAAAATATAAAATTGGTGGTTAAATCAATGTATAAATTGCACCCAGTACATATTCAGTTGACACCTACAATTGGTCAATTGGAGTAGTCACCAATTTTGTAGAATTTAAAATTTATTCTCGTTTAAGGAGACACTTAAAACTTGGAGGGATAATTGTTTGATAAGAAAACACCGCCGCCCCACTACCACAACATATCACACTGTCGCCCTCAAGCACCCGTTGTCGCCCACCACCACCATCGTCATCGCCCACCACCATAACCCACCACCGCCATCACCACAACCACCGTCATCGCCCCACCACCGCCACTACCAATCACCATCACCTTCGGCCACCTCTACCAACGTCGTCACCCATGGCTGTCACTACCACCATCATCACCTAAAACCCACCACCATCATCCAAAACCCACCACCACCATCACTGTTGTCACCCACGACTGTTACTATCACCAAGATCGTCGCTACCCATGACAACCATCGATCATCCCACTATAAATGGTGCTTAAATTATTTTCTCTCTCATCTATATTTGTGATTTAATTTTGAGTGTAAATATAAATATGTTTATTGTTGACCATTTTTTTATCACTTTGTGCGTTCAGGCATGGGCAATAACTAATTATTCTATGTTAAAAGAATTTAAATACCAATTACGAAATTCCTTATATTTAAGATGACTAAGCTCGAAAGCTATTGATTCCCTCTCTTTTTGAATTTTTGTTGAATTCATATTGGAAACTCCATTTAATATGTGGTTGGTTTGAATTCCACAAAATCAGAAACAGGGTCGTTGTCCTGATTATTAGGACCATAAATTCCATATTGAATATTTTGCTTAGAAAGTCTAAACACCTTCTAATATCGTTTCTTTTCTTTTAGACCTACTAATATGCATAGATCTCCCAGAGGAATTGAAGGAAAGATGGGTTACCCAATGAAGAGGTACTTGATCGTGGTTTATCAAAACTCCTGATGGAAGAACTTCTGGATAAGCCTTCAATATTTAATCTAGAGATTTGATCTAAAGCAAATTGAATTTGTACGTCCCTTTCTAGGGTTTGAGAGATTTGATTTAATTCCCTATTAATTATAGGTTGAGGAGGAACTATAGATTATAAATTCCATGATTTCGAAAAAAGTGATATCTTCCCATTTAATAGCTCAATTTTGAGCAATTCTATTTTTTAAATAATTTGTCTCAATTAGAGTTACAGTATTGTGATTCTTATAATTTGAGGTTAAGGTATTCATTACTTTATAATTAATTCTATAAGTTATATTGACAGGTTCAGTTCCATCTATATGGTTCTACCCAAAAGTTTGGATATTTAAAGTTAAAACCACCATTATATCAGTTTTAGAGACTGATAAATTTAGAAAACAATTAAAATAAACGGCCAGTACTAAGACTAGACTTCATTACTCCCATAAGAGATTGTTGAAAATCAAGATTTCTAGTACCTCTTAATGCTAAAATAAAACTTGCATTGGTTCCTAATAGGGTTAAGACGTTTTAATGTAACTTGCACTAAACCTATGTGAAATATTGATATTTTTCTTTATGTTTAGTAATTTATTAATTACTAACCAATTGTAAAATTTCTATAGAATTTTCTAAAGGAATTTTTTGGTCAATTGACTCAATTGTTTTAATTGACAAACTCGATTTGAAATCAAAAGATCCAATGTTATAAACCTTATTAGTTTTTATTTCATGCAAATGCCAATTTTATAGAACATTTCATACATTTGAAAATTCAATTTTCAAAGCATTTTAACGAATTCTTATTTATTAGAAAAATTTGTAAGCATTTTTGCTTTTTGAGAAGTGTTGATGCATATGTATTCTATTTGTTACAGTAAAGGGTGTCAAAAGTGTTGGGTTGGGTCATTCCATGTCGGGTTGGTTTCAAGTTTGTGTCAAAAATCTCAAAACTCAAACCTGCTTAATAATCGTGTCGAAATGTGTAAACACTAACTTGACTTGACCATTAAACGGATTACCCAAATCTGACCTGTTGGACACGTTTAATAAACAGGTCGTTTTCGGGTTAACGCACATAACATTATCTGTTTAACTTGTTTAACACACATAGCATATTTTCACACCTGTTTATTACCATTAAATACACTATTTAATCACTTATCCAAAATTTCAAACAATTTTTCACAAATAACATATCACATCTCATAAATGAAATTAACTAAAATGTATTTAAATTTCAACCCAAAAATTAAAACAAGAACTATACTAGTATACTGTCATAATAATGTTAAGACCACATCAATCAGACATAATAGACAAACTATACTACCATAAACGGGTTAAACGGGTCTACAATGAGTTAGGTCGGATTCATGTCTGAATCATGTCAACCCATTTAAAATATATGGGCTAATCAGGTCAAAATTAGGTTGACCTAATTTTGACATGAACCCAATATGAATTTTTTCGTGTTTAAGTATGTTAATCCGTTTTAACCCATTGACTCGTTTAATTTCGTGTCCGTCCCATTAATTTCGTATTCGGTTCGTGTCATGTTAACATGTCGTGTTGAAAATTGACAGCCCGACAGTGTTGTGATAATATTCGGTGCTACAGTATTTTACAGCGGCGTGTGCTACAGTGATTTACTATTTAGTGTCTTGTATCTTACCCTCACCACTCTTTTGTCAACGATTTACAAGACAGATAGATGAGTATATATATATTGGGATGTAGATGTGTAACCCTAACACACTATCTCTTTTTTCTTTTTCTCTCTTTCTTCCTCTCTCTTTCCTCAAACCCTAATTCTTTCATAATCTAACTGTTTATTTATGAACACAGACTCCACAAGAGGGGGAAGAAGAATGTGATCACCTTGCACTATCAAGACGAACTTGATAACCAACTACAGAATCCTTTGAACCTGGAGAAGATTCACAACGCTCATCAGAAACTCTTTCAGCTACAGAGATGGCCTGCAAAATACCACAACAATGCTATTACCTTAAATAACCATGCGTATACAAAGACTGACAATGAATTTTCAAATAAAAACATATAATACGATCACTGACAGTTGTACGTTCAGAAATAATCAGTTAAAACTAAGTAAAAATGCCATAATCTATGTTTGGTTCAGAGCTACCATATATGGGTAAAGACGCTCCTATGACACAATACGAGGTATGCTCACAGACTGTGTAAATTGAAGAACTTTAAAAGAAACATCACAAGTAATTCCATGGGATGAGAGCTTGCAGACAATTTCTGATGTGGAATGACCCAAAAAAAGAATACATTTACAAGGAAGTCATACAGCCTCTGAGAAATCTTTTATTGATAAAATGAGGCACATACAATCTTCCAGATTCTGTTAATTCTGACCCTTAGCAATATTTATTCACAATACCAAATGCTCACCATTAATTTGGGCTCCAATCTGGGTTACAAGAATCAGACGTGTACAAAATTTGGCGATAACAGTAAGGAATAATTGACATGTAGTAGGACAAATTTTACCAACTAAATGATTCCACATTTGTCCATTTTGTATGCAGCAACACCTCATGTTACCTACGACACCACTGACAACCTCCTGGTTTTACAGCCAGCACTATAGATGGATTCTTGCAGCTCAATCCAAATCACAACTAACAGAATAGCCGTAAACTTCAAAATGAAATTTTCCAAGATTACCATTCAATCAATTTACACATGTGAAGTACGGATACTTCCTTAAGATCGACGTATCCATATCGGATACCGTGTTGAATACAATATTCGAGGATACTCAAAGATACGTATCAGATACACACCAAACGTATCTAATAATAAATAAAATATATGGATACTTCATGGATACTTCTATATGCAGAAAAGTTTGTGTAATTTTTAGTTTTAATCTTTACTCATTCCTTTTGATTTCACGTACAATTCAATACATCAACAAAAATTCATATAATTTGGAAGACACATGGGTGTTTTTTAAATATTATCCATCATCACATTCCAAAGAGTTTAAATGAGTTGATTACTCTATACTCTTAACAACAAATACTTCTAAGCAAACAATATAATTAAATGTTAGTTCTTATTCCCTTAATTAATCACATTCATTTTGTAGATATACGATAGATAACTTTTTGAAAATAAAAATTGTTAATGTTGTTTATTATTATTAAAGAATCACTAAAAATTATAGCTATCAAGTCATTGCATAATAGTAAAAACATAAAATATATATTTACAGACGTATCCCGGCTATACCCGTATCCTATTTTTTGGGGTTTTGTTGTATCACTGTATCCGTATCATATCGTACCCATATCTCATATCCGAAACCGATGCTCATTCCATACACGTCTTTATTGCAAATTTGCACAGCATTCATCTCGTGCCTCGAGTTTGCATGATGTTCATTTCATGCACACGTTTAATCTCTTTATGTTTACACAATGATCATTCTATGCATATTTCCTCACAACTTATTATTCCGGGAGAGTCCATCCAGACAACCGTAGATATCAGCATCAAGTTCTGTATGATAAGTCATTCTGTGCAATCTCAATTGTCGCAGTCCTGACAACTTCAATTGTCATTGTCCTGACAACTTCAGCAACACCACCACAGCAGCATCATTTCATCTTCTGTTCAAGTTGGACAATTCACATTTACAATTTTGTGCCCAACTTGAGGGGGAGTATTAAAGATAGAACCCCATGATTTATGGGATATTATGTGATTGATTAACCATATTTAGTGGCATGATTTGACATTCGGATTTGTGTCAATCCCTATGATTAAGGGATATGATTGTTTTTGTCACTCTATATTTATGTCAAGAATAATACAAGACATAGTTCTTATGGGCAATTGATCCGTAGATGAAGGTCTTATTTACTAAAACACATTAATTCTTTTGTGTTCTTGATTTATTTCTTTCCTATTTAAATTTAACACTCTAATACTCTAATCAACTCAACAAAGCCTTCATCCCAACTATTTGGAATAAAACCAGCAAAATCCCTCGCACTTCGCATCACTTTTCTCCCATTCTATTTTTCAAAAACATGCCTAATCACATTGAAATTCCCCTCTACACAACAAAGAGGACCAAAAAGACTAAACAAACCCACCAATTCTTTCCTCCATCTTCTTCTATCCCAAGACAATTTGACAAATACTGTAAACTCAGCCTCAACCAAATCCTCCACGTTATGGACCTCTCATTCCACATTAAAACTATTCCCCTCAATCTTTCAACAGAAGGTAAGCAAACAATTTCGAAACCTAGATCCCTATACACTCTTCACCAATTTTCTATACAACAATCAGCAAGAGGCATCTTAGTTTGCTATGCATTTCCACTGGGCAACTTCCTAAGGCTACTTATTCCCAACAAACATGTCTTGTGCTACAACAATTGGACTTTATGGAATGCAAATTTCACTAATTGGGTTTTTTTTTTTTTTGTTTTTTTTTCTTTGAAAAAGGAAACTTTTGAGGGAGTTGGAGTTTTTAGTATTTTTTCTCAATCACAATAGTCTCTAAGAGGTGGGATCATTTGGATCAATAGTAAGCATTCATTAGGTGTGCAACTTGGGCAGGTCAATCCGAATTCAACTCGAGCCCAACCTGAAAAAAAAAAGAGGTTGAGTTAGAATTTTTAACACTTAGGTTGGGTCTAGCCAAAAAAACTCTAACGTGAATTGAATTTGGACAAGCCTCGAGTTGTCGGGTTTAACCCAAATATTAAAATCAGGTTGAATCTGATTATTAAATCATGTTGAACCCGAATATACATAAATATATAAATATATTTAACTAGAATTAGTATTTATCTTCACTCTTTAGAGTCCAAACTTTCACTTCACTTTAAGTCTTCACCCCTGCACCTCTATCACTCTTAGATCAATCTTTCACTCGTCACTCCTCCCTTTCACAACCTCCCTCTCTCAATCGTCACTCATCTGAGTCGTCTCAGACTCTTAGCCTCCTTCTCTCACTCGTCACTCCTTTTCTCACTCCCTCTCTCTTCATCTACATCTCGCCCTTTATCTCAGATCACTTGAAAAAATCATATCTATATTTGAAAAAATTAAATCTACACTTCAAAAAATCAACCCGAATTAAGTAACTCAAGCCCAACCCTAATTCAACCCGAGCCTGCCCGAATTAAACTCGGGCAGTACTCAGGTTGAGATAGGGTTAAAGTTAAAGATTATATACTTACAATTGAGCTAGGATTAACCTTTCAACCCGCCCAACCTGCTCCCCTAGCATTCATGCAAGATTTCAATATTCAACTACTTTTCTAGAGCACAAGATCTATGAATAAAAGAGACTAATGACTAATTTAAGATGTCAAAACTCTTGATATTTGCCATCTCAAAGATACTTCCTCTCATTTCCTTTTCTCTCCAACTTTCACATTTGTCTCCCAAATCTAAATTCTAATCACATATTTGTCACTCAACTCTAGTTCAGTGATGTGAAGCATGGTTTTAATTTAGCATCTCCACCATCTGCGTGTGTGTGTGTATTTTTCTTTCTTCTTTGTTTTTTCCTTTTTTGTGTGTGTGTGTGGGGGGGGGGGGGGGGAATTTTAGAGTTAAGACAAAATCTCTTAAGATTTTTATTGGGCTTTCACCAAGACTACCAGTATTCATTGCAATTTAACAAGAAAAAAACAAAAAGAACTGAAAGAAGACAATTATATAAGTCCACAAGCATAAATAATAGAGTTAGAGTTGTAAATGGTAACAGCACACTGAAATTGTTTTACAGACCGCAATTCTCCTTGGTTGTGTGCATATAATGTTGCAGTGCCCACCACGACCTGCTTCAATCATGTCATCCAATATAAATTGCGGGACCTAATACACCAACCAATTAGAATTCAAACTGTATTGCCGTTTTTAGAGAAGGGAAAATGAGGGGAATACCACATTAATTTATCTAAGTTGCATAAAAGGAAGGCTGTATTGCACCTGAGTTGTCTTTCCACAACCTGTTTCCCCACAAACAACAAGAACATTATTCTCCTTCAGCAGACGCAAGATTTCACCTTTGAACTCAGCAATAGGAAGGGCAGCTCTAGACTCTAACATGTCCTAGAAAGAAAGGAGCCGTAAACATCAAAAGCAAAAAGAAAACACAAACAGGGCATGTATGAACAAATTACACTGGCAAGTGTAAGAGTAAACCAACAACATTACAAGAAAAACTACAATAGACATCACCCCGCAAAAGCAATGGGATAGGACTGTGTTCAGGTGTAGACCTAACCTGCAGACATTCTTGCCAGTTTGCATCAAAGTCATTACCATCAAACTCAAACTAGCATTATGACGCTTGACTGCCCCAGTTTTCACTAATTGCACAATCCTTGTTAGAAGCTAGTTTTAAGAATCATGAGAAATACGAAACTAATTCACTTTAGTTACTTCTCTAACAACGTGGAAAGGTCCAAAAAAAGAATATAGAAAAACAAAAGGCCCTTAAAAGCAAGCCTTGGTAGGGAAAGCCCAGCCCTGTCCAATTAGCCCCTTTTCCATGGAAAGCATCCCGAAAGAACTTAGAATTTTTCTCCGTCAAACTGGCCTAGATTATAGCCACCAAAGCACAATCCCAAAAAACACTAATTCTCTCACCCTCACTTGCATCAAAGCCCAAAAGAAAGCTCAAGGAACACCCTGATTCCAGCAACTCTGCTTACAGCCAGTGATTTGCTTAAGTCCCCCTCAATTTGCATGCATTGTCTTAAAGCAATGCTTGCAAAGGAAGATACTAACCTTGTACTTTTTCATTTTCTTTTTACTTTCTTTCTCGTGTCTCAAATATGAACTCTCTGCTTCTTTATCACAGTTGACTCCTGCAAAGTAAAATCATAATAGTAAGCAGAACACATCAATAGGACTTTTAGGAGCATTAATTTTCAGTTAGGGGCAAAAATTTAGTTTGCCCTTATCAAATGAGTTGAATACTGAAAACGTTTATTAACTGCCTTGTTAGTAAAGTTATCAAACAGTCCGAGCCGCTGGAGCTCAGGCTCGATTTAGGCTCCTTCAAGCTCATTCGTATTTGAAAATGAACTGAACGTTAAACATTCAAGCTGGGCCAGAGGAATCTACCACTCAAATCCTAAGTATCAAGCTTGATCTTCTTATGATATGATAATAAATATTAGTTGTGGTGATTAAAATAATAAAGCAGCATTAGCTCGAGCCTGGGCTTGAATTCGAGCTCGTAGGAACAAAATCAGCGAGCCGAACGCAAACTGAGTATGCCATCTAAAAATCAAGCAGAAATCGAGCAAGAATCCAAGCTGGCAAGTCAAGTTCGAGCCAAGCTTGAACAAGTGATCGTCAACTCAAGCTGAGCTTGAGCCAACCAAAGCTCAATAAACACTGTCCTTGTAGAGGATGGAGCAAACTTGCAATCTCCCACTCAGCATCTAATAAAACCTTGTAAATTTAATCACTCAATCACTGCACAGTATTTGATTGTCATTGTCCCCATTTGGTAATCCAACTAGTAAAAAATAAAGGCAATCACCCAATGTGAGTATTGGTGCCACATACGCCAAGGTTTAGGATGGATTGCAGACCTAATGTTTGGCATAGTTATGCACACAGTAGCTGCTGAATTTGCATTTTACCATTACACTAGGTAATGGCCCCCGCTCAGTGAAATGAATAAAGACATAAATTTTACTTTTGTCTAGACAGTAAATATGGAGAAATCCATGACTATACTTTGAGATTTCAGATCAGCACCAACAGCAGCAAAATTTGTATCTTCTCGGATATGAAGCTTTTGAAACTTTTCTTGAAGAGGTCTATTCATGACATTGACAGAAGTAATGGATTCAGATCTGTCGCCATTCAACAATGAATCCACAAAACCAGCCCTACGGTCTTCCTCGTTGTCTTCAATCTTTGATGTTAATTCCCCTGTAAAAATTTAAACAATGTATGATATATCACCACTCACATTTCACAAAAATCGTCTCAAATCAACAATGATAAAGAGAACTTATTATGAAGTTTTTTCCTATGTAGAAGGGATTCCAATTAAACAAGGAAGACAAACTTTCTAGAAGATAATTCTATTTCTAGTACTAAAATGAGGTCACTGAATTCAAAAACAGTCACCTTCCTCCCATTGTCGAACAAGTGAAGCATACGGCTCAGTAATTAGCAAGTGAAAAGGAATATCTTGAAACAGGCGATAGAGAGCAAAAGCTGCAACTCTGTTCTGTGCATCCTACAATCAAGACAATTGAAATACGAGGAGTTCACAACAAAAATTAAATTAACAATTTTTTCCACAGGACCAACTTCAACAAGAATTCCCCGGGGGGGCATCACTGAAATTGCCTGCTATAATCATAAAAGAGTGGTCCAAAGCATTTTATGTAAGCCCTTTAAAACTTGAACAAATACTCACATTGGTTCACACAGTTAATAAAATTTATAACCAGAACAACGAAAAATGATCCGGCCAATGAACAAGAGCAGACATAACAAATATGCTGCAATCACAAGCTGCATGCACCGCATGAGCCAAGACATGCCGAGAAGAAAGCAGACTGTTGGCAATGCCTTGGCACAAGAAGCGTCCAACGAATATGGTTCTCTATTGTTGTTTTTGAAGAAAGACAATCTGCTCATGATAACTAAGATAAAAAGAGGCATAATAATAAATATATATCACCACGGCAAGGAACACAGAACTGTTATAGTTAAGACATGAAAATTCATGAATGTGTTCATATTAACTTGTTACACTCCTTACTATGGTCTTATATTTACACGTATTAACTACATGCCTATGTCTATGTTCATATACAGTGGAAATGTGTACTTAAATGGAAAAGATTTGATTACAAGCAGCAAACTATCCCAGACTACTGAAGTAGTAGTGTACCTCAGCAGTTTTGGCAATTCCATCCTGAAAAGGCAGCTGAAAAGTAACTAACCCTCCAGCTTTTCTGCTCTTACCCCTTCCAGTAGCTTTACGCAGTACGCTAACAGTGTAATTGGAACTATTTCCTTTGCCAAGCACTTTGTCATATTTTGGTGCCTCCCAGCCTGACCTTTGACAAAGTTGGTGAAGAACAGCCTTAGGAATCTTTTGTGGGTCCCCCTGTGGTAATAGACAGCATAAGAAAACATAAAAATTCTACAAAAACAGAGAAGAGAACCAACACTTACAAAGAATAAGAACAAATCTCCTGGGCAATGGCCAACATCAGTCCAAACAAAAACAGAAAAACAAGGTTGCTATGACTGCCTATTTGAAAACATGAGCAAACTTAAGCAATGCATCAACATTATAAATTTTCAAAAGGGAAGGGGGGGCATTAGATGATGTAATGAAAAAAGTATCGGGCTAACATCCATGTGGTTGCAAGTCCAAATATGAGGGTATCCATTTTTGCACATAATGTCAAAGGTTAGAGTTGCACCCATTACCCCTTCCAACACTTTGATGGAAACCAAACTAAAGAAGGATCCTTATCCAGCACGGCCATATCCATTTTCCTACAGTATAGATTTTGGGGAAAGAAGTCAAATGCATTACGACATAGGTTTTGGAAAAACAAGTTGATTGCATTGCAGAATCATTACATCATGAATTTTCTTCCCCCCTCACCCAAAAAAAAAAAAAAAAAACCAACCCAACCCCACCACAAAAAAAGAAACAAAAAATATGAAAAATCATATACAACTCAACTCAACAAAGTCTTAATCCCAACTATTTGGGTCGGCTACATGAATCATGTTTCTCCATTGCACTCCATCAAAAGTCATTTGTTCCATTAGACCATAAGTTATCATATTATTTTTTACTATTTCATTCACAATTACCTTAGCATTGTCTCTACCTCTCACATTACCATCAAGACTTCTAAAAACATGTTTCAATTGCTTAAGTCAATTATATTTTAATTTATCTTCTATTGGTGTTTCTTCTACAATTTTACGAATATACTCATTTCATCTTAACATTCTCATTTCACAATCTAAGAAGCATGGACATGGGAAATGGGAAACGGATACGGCACGACACAAACACGCTGACACGAAATTTTTCAAAAAAGTAGGCCACGGACACATTGTTGGACACGTTAAATACAATGTATTTATTTATTCATATTATATATATACTAGTCATAACTCGTAACTGAAGACATGATGGAACATAAAATTCGAGCCCCTAAACAATCGATCTCACTATATTAAATAATAATTTTTCTTTCGTTCAATTATTTGATTACATCATTTAAATTGTATTTTTACCCATATTTTCTTTAAAATATTGACAAAATTTTTTCAAAATACGTAATTTAATAAAATTTTCTCAAAATGTGTATACTATTATGTATAAATAATGTCTAAAATAAAAATTATGTTAAACTACAAATTAATCAAATATTAAGTGATTGAACATGTGACAGAAATGCGTGGTGTAATATTTTTGGGAGAAAAAATGTGTAGAGGGTAAAATTCAACTTCCTATGTGTATTATTATTATTATTATATATATATATATATATGTGCGTGTGTGTGTGTATCTGTGTGATCATATGATAAAATAAATATTTTTTGATAATCATCATTCAATTTGTCTTTTCTTTATTCCTAACAACTCACATAATGATATCATTAAATGAAAAATTCAATACCACATATATGATACACCCTTGTCATAAATATTCATACTCCACAATCAATGATTACTACAATTTTCATTTTCAAAAATATCTCAAATTGTAACACTAATTTTCATCAACTTTAAAGAGCACCAATTTCATAACCAATTTTTCACCACATTGGTTTAATATATAAAGCTTATTCCATTTGCATATAATTTTATAATTGTTTCCGGAGTTATTTTACATACATGTCCTATGTTCATTTAGTGATTAATGTTCTTTCTACATTATGCATTTGAGCTATATTTCTTTAAAATACAAAAATAACTTGATTATTAAGTTGTTTGACAAGTTTTCAAAATTTTGAAAAAAAAAAAAATCAAAACGTGTCCTCGAGCGTGTCCAAGCATGCTAGTCGCATGTCCAAAACGTGTCCCAAAAAAAATTTAAAAATAAAATAATTGGACACTCATTTTAATGTGTCCCAGATGTGTCTGACACCGACACTCTAACCATCATGAAGTGTCTGTGCTTCCTAGTCTGCAATACTTGATTTTTGAGCATGTTGTCTCTTAATTGCCCAACGTTCCATCCCATAATGCATTGTTGGTCTAATTGTTATCTTATAAATCTTACTTTTCCACCTAAGGGGTATAGGTCGATCACATAATACACCACAAATCATATATGGAAATAAAAATTTAATAACATATCAGTTTCTCATATTCAGTCCCCTCTAGGATGTTGAGCAATAATATAGCAGCTCATTATAATACATATGTTACCTTCTTCCAGATACCATCTAATTTCTCCAAGTTTTTCCCACTAGATAAGTCTCTTGTCTTTTCTTTTTTTAGTAACTTCCCCGCTCCAGGAGGCAAAATTTCACTTGATAAAGCATCTTCAGAGAAGAAGTTACCAAGCTCTATATCTCCTGATTCTTCTTCTACGGCACTTTTATCAGCACCCGAGGTCTGGTCTTCAATTGAGAACCCTTTCAAGCTACAGCTCTCCATAACATATCCATCCACTTTTGACTCCAACTCATGTCCAGCAGAGGCTATACCACCACCTTCTAAACCACATAAGGTATCAGCATCAGGGCTCTCACAAGATGTTTCCTCATATGCTTGCCGTGAAATACTATCATACCCAGATATCAAAACATCCTCTGATAGTCCTGCTCAATATTTACAAGGCATATGAAGAATGCCACAAATGAATCAAACATAAAAAATGTACCTAAAAATTTTTGTTACCTAGAACAGACATCTCCTGCTTTATTTTGCGAATAACTAGGCCAGCTTTTTCCTGGGCCTTCTTGTCCCCTTTCTCTTTGGCACTAATAGCTTCTAACCGTGCTCTGTGATACTCTTTGACAATAGAATCATTACTGAACCTTGGTTCTGTGGCCTGTCAAGAAAAAGATTTGAGCTAAACAAAGGCATAAGCATGCAAAATTCCATCCCCATTTAGATTGTTATAAATACAGGAACAACCTCGTATTATTTGAAATTTCAGTGACACCCCTTCCAGTGGTCATGCTTTACCATTCTGCGCCATAATTTTATAATGTAGATAACCATATAAGATGCAAAGAGGGCACCTCGATTCTCCCCCACTCACCGCACCACACCTCTGCCCCCTACCCCTCTCCTCAAGACTCGTCCCCCCAACCCACACACACATAACAAGAACAGAGCAGCACGTATATCATCCAGGCCTCCCTTTCACACACACACACTGTTTCTCTCTCCTCACACATACAATACAAGCCAGTATTCAATGACGTCTTTGCTGGACCAGCACGAGCAGCAATGAGGAAAGTCTGCATCCCTCTTTAATTTTTTATGATCTTCCCGGGAATTTGTTTGAGTTAATGGATTCGTCGTTGAAACAATGAGATAAATTTGAAGATCTTTTTGCAAATTTGGAATAATTTGTAGTCTGGGTTTGGCAGCGGTATGGAATGGTGGGAACCGATTCCATCACTGAAGAGGTCAATGGTGGGGTAACGGAGGGGTGGTGGTGGAATGGTTTTGTGAAGGTGCAATCAATAGTGGATGGCAGTTGCGTATGGGTGCATTCAATGGGGGTTTGTTAATTTCAATTTTGATTCTACTTTTCGTATGTTAATTTTGATTTAAGATTTCAAGTTTTTCTCATTTTGGTTGGATTCGCACCGGTTGGATATTGGGAGCATTTCTCTATCTAAAAATTCTCTCTCTCACAATTGGCATAAGTTCATGCAGTGAACTGATGATGGTAGTAGTGGTGATGGTTGTGATTATTCATTTGAAGGTGAGGGTGTTGTGTGAGGGGAAGGAGGGAGGGGGAGATAATGAACTACTAAATTATAGGCCTATGGTGTTGTGGATGTATTTTAGGAAAGAAAACAAATAAATTTGTACTTTAACAATAATATTTCATGATATCAGCACTTTTTTCATGAATAGCAAACCATCACGGTAGGGGTATCACCTATAATGAACATATTAACTAGAAGGAGTGTAATGCCATTTCAGATAGCGCACTTTTTTGTAGTGCCAGTAATGGGCAATCATTTCAGAGGTATTACCTAAAACGAACATATGAACAAGAGAAGGGTGCAATATCATTTCAAATAATGCAATGGGACTTCTTGAAGACATGATAATCGGGTGCGGGTGAATTTTGCTTGTACCCATACACATAAATACAAACACCAAACTTATTGATTTCTTCAGATCAAAAAAAAAAAATATTGGCAAATAGTCTCTAAACTAAAGACAAAACTATACTGACTTACAAAAGCAAAAATAAAATGGCTTGCCTGAATTTAACATAATTGTGGTAACATCCGATTAAAAAAATCTGAGAAAAACAAAATATCCTAGAGAAAATAAGAAGCCAGAAAAAACATGCATAGTGTGAGAGGGACGGAGAAGCTTTCTTTTTTCAATGACTCTCACATATGCCCGAATACTACTTAATAGGAGGGGGTGAGACAAATACAAGCAAAGAATCATCAGAGTTAGGTGACAACACTGACAAGAGACACCCATCCTTCTACCACTTTTCTCAATCATAACAATATACTTAATCACTTCATCGTGTACCAAGCACGAAATTAAGTACCTGCTCAGTTGAACCCTTCTCAACTGTATCATCTTCCCAAGTTTCATATTCATCCTGCAAAGGGAGATGAAGCAGAATTATACTTCGGGTATTAACTATATTAAATACTGGCTTTTTCTATAAAGCATATATTTCAACAAAATAAAGTCAATCATGATCAAGCTGACACATGAAAAAAAAGGCATAATGATGCTTTGAGAAAAGAAACTCCGATATTCACAAATTGCACAACATCAAATCATGTCAAAAGAACCTGTCACAAATTTCTAAAACCTAGAGGTGTAAGTTCGGAGCTTGAAGTTTCAAATCAAAATTACGTATCCAAGACAAGCACACAGAGATGGAATTTGGTGGATATGCACATGCTACCAGAAGGTAAAGAAAGTGTGAAATTCAATCATGTTACTACCACTAAATAAGGAGATTAAAGAGTTTCAGAAGATGTCACAAAATGCTGAATCATAATTTTACTTTGTAGGTATTGTCAATTAGGCAAGGAACTAAAGTGCGTGAGAGCATTAAAAAAGTATTATCAACAATACAAATTAAAGGTTTTTTTCAGAAAATTAAGGTAGCCAAGTTAGTGAAGCTATGTAAAATCTATATAATAAATCACATAACAACTTGAATTTTTATCCCCTACATATTTTTCTCCCTAAAAATATCACATCAGTCATTTCTATCACGTGTTTAATCATTTATATATTATTCCCCTAAAAACATCACATTACTTATTTTTGTCATATGTTTAATATTTAATATTTGATTAATTTGTAGTTAATATAATTTTTATTTCAAATATTATTCATATTCGATAGTATACACATGTTAAAAAAATTTAATATAATGAGATCTATTTTTTGGGGTCGAATTTTATATTTTATCGGGTTATAACTAGGATGAGAATAAGTAAGGTAATAGAATCACAAGTAATTATTCGTGAGGCTTCTAAGATGCATAATGAATAGTTACTAAAAGGAACAAAAAAGAAAATAAACGGGCAAAAAGGAATGATAAACAGTGAACAGAAGATAAGGATTTTAGACCTTAGATTGAATGTTACGTCAGCTAACATCGTACTAAACTTACATTAATTGACCTTTTGAGTGAGTATTTTAAAAGAAAGCAAGACATGAGACTCTGGCAAACAAACAATCCTAATACATTAACCATAAAATCTATTTTTCCAGAAAAGAAGAAAAAACTCCATATAATAGGTCCCTAATGAAACAATTAGGAGGTTTATAGAAGAAAGCGAGTGACGATTAAACACATTAGAGGTTACTTGTTTAAAGAGGAAAATAACTAACGTCTAAAGACCAACTTGACGCTAGACTTATATCTATTTGGCACAAACTGGTTTATACAAGAGAAAGAAGACAGCCAAAGAGACAAACAGAGTTGGATAATTCATGGAGTCAGCTCAATTTCAGTTTCATTTATTATAGATAAACTGCGAGCAGCACGGCGTGGGTAAGGCAAATTTCTAAAGCATTCGGATTCTGTAGTACCTCTTCCTGTTGTTCCATATACTGGAGGATCCAATCTGCCTGAGATGGCTGGCGAGAATCCAAGGTATCGTCATCCCACCGGCCCTTAATTTTTACTGAAACTTCGGGCAATTCATTCTTAGTCTCGGCGGATTCATCCGCCGAGGGATTCCAATCTTCCCGTGCCGTTGATATAATTCCAACAGAGCCTATTTGAATCAATTGCATTAGTTAAGGCAAAATTCACAAACACTCGAAAGTAGCATTATCCTCTATATAACCGTATTGTGAAATGATGATATTTTCCTGTTTAGAACTAGAATACCTCCATCTGTATTCAGAGAATTGCCACTAGAAAACTTCAACGGAAGCTCACTCCCAGGCAAATTCAGGCATAGCCAATCCAAAGCAGCCTCAAAAGTAGCATTATCCTACTCAATGTACAAGAAAACATACTTTCTTTTCTTAGCAATATTTTATTGGTAGCCAAACCGAAAATAATTTTTCATGTCAAAACATTCAATTACATTTGAGACTAACCTTCAGAGCAGCGAGAGCGAGTTCAATTTGATCATCAGAGAAGCCTTCGCAAGAGAGCTTCTCATAAATAGAACGAAGCTTCTTGGCCTTTTGTGCTTTGGAGAGAGAATCATCGGCCGTAGTCGAAGAAGGTGCGGACCAGCCGGAGTTGAGCAAGAGACGGCGGAGGCGGTTCTCGTTCTCGGCCGATATCTGGAGTTTCGGACCTTTCGAAGACTGAGATTTTCCCTTTGATGATGATGAAGAAGATGAGGCTGATGATTTCTGATTCTGCTGCTGCAGCTGCTGCTTCTTCTTTGGAGCCATTGTCTGTGCCTTTGAAGAGAGAGAAAGTGAATTCCGATCAAAGTGACAGAGACGGTGCGTTTATTTACCGGAAAAAAAATAATAAAAGAAAAGAAAGAAAGGGTTAAAACGTCATTTAATACAATTTATATAAAGGGTTAAGCCTGGTCCTTTAAAAGTATGTGATTTAACTTATTTTATAATATTTTAATTGTGTCATTTGAGTCCCTAAAATATTACATATATTTTTATATGATCCTTCAGACCGACGATATCTAAATTGTTAACGATTTTTTATTATAAACTTATCACGTAATACTTAAATATAGGTAAAAAAAATAATTTAGATAACTCTTGATCAAATTTTTACCTAAATTTTAGTCAAAGAGTTATCCAAATTACATAGTTTTGATCAAGAACTATTCATATTACACATTTTTTATCAAGAGCTACTTAAATTTTGGTTAAAAGCTACTCAAATTATTTTTTGTCCGTATTTAAGTATCACGTGACAAATTTATGATAAAAAATCGTTAACATTTAAATATTGTCCGTTTGAAGTACCACATAGAAACATATTTAATACTTCAATAACCAAAATGATATAATTGAAATATTATGGACTAAAATAAGATAAATTTATACTTTAAAGACCTCCAATACAATTAACCCTTAATATAAGTTAGCAATTACCATGGCACAGACATATTGCTAATAATAAAAACTACCATGTAATATATATATATATATATATATATATATATATATATATATATATATATATATATATATATATATATATTAATAATATTTGTTTAATTATAAAATTTAAAATTAAAATGAATGGAGAGAAATAGTGAGAATGGGAAAATAGGTGTTAGATTAATAACCTTATTCACATTGAAGGTTATTTATTGAGTTGTTTTATATTGAATGTCGTGTAGATAAAATTATATTTTTTCAATAAAAAATAAAAATTGGGATTAATTTTGAACCATTCAATCAATATTTCTTAAGACAGCTCATTATGAATTAATTTTTATATTTGAGACATTTAATAATGAAATTAAAATTGAATATGGTTGTTGTATTTGCATTTTATGTTTTGGCAATGCTCGTGAATATAACTCTGAACCATTTTTTACTTCTTTTTTTTGTTAAAATTAGTATTATTCATTAAACTTCATGTATCTACACCCCTGGGAGAATGGTTAGGGCAGTTAAGCGAGTCAAACTTGAACATTTTTTTAAACTCATTTATGTGTAAATAGTCAAACAAGTCAGCTCGTTTATGTGTAAATAGTTGAAGATTTAGGTTCGAATTCAGCTCGATTATCACCCCTAAGAATGGTGTGGCCAAGCGTAAGAATCCTTATCTCATTAATCATATGCCCTCTTTTGTGTTAAATGGACATTGACCACATTATATTCTTTTTCCCTCGTCCTCCCTTATTTTTTGTACCCCCTAACATTGCGTGTTTAATAAATTCGTTCATCGTGCTACAAAATGTATATTTCTTGGTTATTCTTACATACAAAAAAGGTATCATTGTTATAGTCTTACGCTTTGCCGATACTTCATGTCATCTTCACTGAATTTGTCCCATATTTTTTGTGTCATTGATCCTCCTCTTGATCTTGACTCTAAGCAATCAACTTCACTCGCACCTCCTTTATTACCGTCGACCATTTCATCGTTTATTTCCCACTTCTAGTTTTACCACCACCATCCTCGTTTGCACCACTTCATGTGTAGTCTCATTGTCTAAGGGCATCTAGTGATGTGCTCCTATCATCTTCCTCAACACCTTCCAATCTCGATTCTTCTATTATTTCTAATTCTTTAACCATTACACTACGTAAAGGTACTCAGTCATGTGTTACAACACATTCTATTAATACTTTTGTTTGTTACATTCTATTTAATACTTTTGTTTGTTATATAATGCATTGTCTCATGCTTTTTTATTGTTTTTTTTTATCTAAACTCTATGGATGTCTTTCAAGCAATGGCCTAGTTTTTGGAAGAACGAAAATTAGAGCAAGAACGAGTGCAAAAGTGATTAGGGGCTCAAAGTATGGATATTCGGACTGTGAATTTATGACTCTGGAGTGTGTGCATAGGTGTTATAGTCATGAATAATGTGTTAGATAGGGGTATAAATGTTACTGGTAAAGAGAGAGCAAACAAGGATACGAATTCAGACTAGTTAAGGTTAGCGCGTACCGGGCAGTTAGGGGGTGCGATAGTTGCATTAGTGGATCAAATTGGAGGTCAAATTGATGTCTAAAAATTTAGTCAATAATTTTCTAGTGGTTTATTTAATATGTAGGTGATATTTAAGAAATATATATTTTTAATTATTTTTTGAAATTTGGACCCCAAAAAAGGTGAAATTACTAAAATGCCCTTGCAAGCATCTCCATCCTTCTAGCATGGCAAGGTGTCGGTTGGAACTCTCCAAGGTTGCATTATCTCCACCTAGTTGCTTAGGGGGATATTAAGCTTATGTGTTAGCTGTTTGGATCGAGGAGAATCGTTAGAAAGAGAGAAGATAAGAAAGATAGGTAGATAAAGAAAATGTACACTTGAATTTTTGGGTTTGAGCTAGGGCTTGATTCAAGGGTGGAGATCAATATCAAACTCTTCCTTTTGATGAGAGGAATTCACTAGTAAGCTTGGATTTTGAGTTGATTTAGTATATATGCTCGAATTTGAGTTTGAAGTAGTAGATGAGTTTCAAATTTTCAAACGGGTATATATCTAGCTTAGTTTTCTTTCAAATTAATCACTTGGATTCTATTCTAGGATAGATTTGAAAGTGTTTGGTGGTGGTGAGAAAGTCGATCGGGTCTTTGGTGGGATAAGAAACTAGGGTTTAAGTTTAACTTGAAATTTGATCTCTTTTAATTATTATTTAAGCTTCGAAAGAGGTCTTGTTCCTAGCTAATTTGGACCCAAGGAATCCATTTTTGGCCTTATAATTGAATTTAGAAGTCATTTGTGGAGGTGAAAAGGGGAAGTTTTAATTCTGTCCATGGGTTGTAAAACTTTATTTTTTTTCAAACTTTGGATTAATTTTTGGATGGGTTAGAGTTTGATACGAGGTGTCTCATCTATGGGGATATAAAGAGAGCCACAAAGAGAGTGATTAGGCTTTGAAAACAAGTCAAAAGAAGTACTTGGGAATGAGTTATAGGAGTGAGAAGAGGGGTGGTTGAAACATAAATTTGGTATCTAAGGTTACTGGAGGTTGAAGATGAAGTGGAACAAGAGGACCATTGGACAACCCAATAGAGAGTGAGAGCGTGTCTGATGTTCGATGGACCTCTAGTTCATGCCAAAATTTATGTAACGTCCATGCGGAGATCCTGGTAGAATTTGAATTCAATAGGTGGTGTAAAATGTATGTTTTAACCTTCAGGGCCAATTTGACCAATTTTGAGGGATTTTTTTCCAAACAAATTTTATATTCATTCTTAGGTAGCTTAATTGATTTATGTGTATGAAATTTCATTATAAGTAACATTGTTTCATTTTTTGCTATTTCAAATCAAAATACCGAGACTGGTGGGGTTTCTCAAGTCTGGGAGGATGGTAGCTTATGGTTCTCGGCAATTAAAAATCCACAAGAAGAATTACCCCACACATGATATAGAGTTGGCAGCCATTGTCTTTGCCTTGAAGGCTTGACACCACTATTTGTATGGTGAGTAGTTTGAGGTGTTTTTGAACCACCAAAGTTTGAAGTACATCTTTACACAACGAAACTTCAATATGAGGCAACGCATGTGGATAGAGCATTTGAAGGACTATGACTTCATTTTGTATTACCATCCTGATAAGGCAAACATGGTGACTGATGCACTCAGCCGAAAGTCACAGAGAGTCTTGGCTAGTGTGATTTCCCATAATTGGCAGATACTCGAAACTGTGGGACAATTTAGGCTACACTACAAGGGTCAGACTCATGGCACTTTGGGGAGTTTGGTGACTATGTCTTCCTTACTAAATAGAGTGATTGAGTCCCAGAAATAGGACACAGAGATATTATCCATTAGGGATCGGGTATAGCGAGTACAGGTGACGAGGGATGGGCCGTTCACACAGATAGTAGTCTTCGGTTCATGGGAAGGGTTATAATTCCCCAATCTACGGATCTAAGAAAGGTCCTTATAGAGTTCCATTGCTCCAGTTTTGCTATGTATCCAGGTGGCATGAAGATGTATTATGATCTTTGTCGCCAGTACTATTGGAGTGGAATAAAGGGGCATATCAGAGATTTTGTCAGTTGATATCTCACATATTAGTAGGTCAAGGTTGAGCACCAGAGACCACTAGGGTTGCTCCAACCTTTAGAGGTGGTTGAATGAAAGTGGGAACATGTCATGATAGATTTTATGACCCACTTGCCACGAAAATCGGGGGGGGGGGGGGGGGGCATGACGTTGTTTGGGCGACAGTGGACCAGCTTACGAAGTCGGCACACTTTTTGGTAGTGTGGATGACCTTCACACTAGAGGAATTTTGTAAGTTATTCATACGGGAGATTGTTCGGTTGCATGGAGTACTTGTATCTATAGTATCGGATCAGGATCTCAGGTTTATGACCCATTTTTAGGAGAGTTTTCCAGTAGGCCATGTGGACACAGTTGATGATAAACACAACTTTTTATCTCTAGAAGGACAGTCAATTATAAAGGACCATCCAGACTTTAGAGGACATGCGTCCTAGATCTCAATGGTAGTTGGGTCTCAAAGGTAGAGGGTCTCACGGCTCAGAGTCGACAGAAGAGCTACGCCAACAGACAGCGGTGACCTCTAGAGTTTGGGGTTGAAAATCACGTCTTCTTGAATGTGATGCCAAAGAGGATAGTGGTCAAGTTCGGGAAGCGAAAAAAATTGTCGCCGAGGTATATTAGGCCCTTCGAAGTACTCGAGAGGGTTGGTACAATTACTTATCGGTTGACGTTACCACCAAATTTATTGGGTGTTCACGTGGTATCTCATGTCTCCATGC